CGGAGGAGGCGGCATGGGCGGCGGAGGACGCGGTGGCGGCGGCATGGGAGGCATGGGCGGCATGGGCATGGGGATGATGCCAAACATGAACATGGGCATGGGCATGATGGGCATGATGGGCGGCCCGCCCGGTGCGCCCGGCGGTCACTTTGTGAGTCGATCCCCTGTGCCCCGTCGCTCCACCTCGTCGACGGCCGATGAGCGCTGACACGCTAACCTCCATTGCCGCTACAGAACCCCAACTTCTTCGGCGGACAGACGCCACCAAACGGAGGCGCCGGCACCACCAACAACGGCAGCATGTCTCCCCAGAACCACGACGACCGCGAACGCAAGCGGCACCGCGAAAACTGACGGTCGCGCCGTCAGGACCCTTCTCCTTGCCACCCGTCCATGGCCCTACCTCGCCGCCGCCAATCTTCCTGCGAATCACAGCGACGTACGTCTGATGCTCGGACAAGAGACCTGCTGGCTCGAAACGGAACACGGACAAGGCCGGGCTGGAGCAGGCTTTCGCTCGATGGCGTTTCGCAGGTTTCTTTTGGGCTGTGTATGTGGCGTGTAGCGAGGGGCAGAGGCCGCAGGTCGGACCCCCCTTCTAAGGCTCGAGACGCCTCGGGTCGCGCGGGAACATCGAGGCCCTTCGGATGTTGCCCTGCAGCGCGCCGATGCGTTCGACGAAGGCAGAGAATACGGAGGATGAAGAGGATCAGCCCACGAGGTCCGAGTCGAGTCGAGCCCGGTCGGGTCTCGCAGCTCCGGCAGCGACGCTGACCGACTCACCAGTCCGAGGTAGAACATGACGACGCGCTCCAGGCCGATGCCTCCGCCGGCGTGCGGGGGCGCGCCCAGCCGGAAGGCCTCGACGTAGTGCTTCATGCTCTCGACGGGGACGCCCGCCTTTGCCATGCGCTCCTCGAGGTAGCCGGCGTCGTGAATACGCTGCGCGCCCGAGAGGATCTCCTGGCCGCGCATGAAAAAGTCGTACGAGTTCGAGTAGCGCTCGTCGGTAGGGTCGGGCATCGTGTAGAAGGGCCGGATGTCGAGCGGGAACTTGTCCAGCATAAAAAAGTCGGTCTTGTACTTTTCGCGCACGAGGGCGCCGAGGGTGCGCTCCATTTCCGTCGAGAGGTCGTCGAGGTCGCCGAGCTCCTTGCCGGCCTCGCGCAGCAGCGCGACGGCGTCCTTGTACTGGAGGCGCACCGTCTTCTCGGGCAGCAGGAACTCGTCGCAGGGGAACTGGCGCTTGACGGCGTCGATCTCCTTGCGGTAGCGCTTTGGCAGCTCGCGGAAGATGAAGGTGAAGAGGCCGTCGAGGACGTCGACGACCTCGTGGTAGTGCTCGTCAAAGGCCATCTCGAGGTCGAGGCCGGTGAACTCGGTCATGTGGCGGTGGGTGTTGCTGTCCTCGGCGCGGAAGATGGGGCCGATCTCGTAGACGCGGCCAAAGTCGGCGGCGATGGCCATCTGCTTGGCCAGCTGCGGGCTCTGGGCGAGGAACGCGCTGCCCTTGAAGTAGCCCACCTTGAAGACCGACGAGCCCGACTCGGTGGCGGCGCCCTGGAGCTTGGGCGTGTGGATCTCGACAAAGTCGAGGTTGTCGAGGTACTCGCGGAAGAGGCGGCAGACGCCGTGGGTGAGGCGGAAGATGGCCTGGTTGGTCGTGGTGCGCAGCTCGAGGACGCGGTTGTCGAGGCGGGTGTCGAGGGCGATGGGCGGCAGCGGCCGGTCGGTCTCCTGGCTCGCCTGGATCTCGGCGTCGGAGCGGGTGGCGTCGTCGACGCCAAAGGGCAGCTGCTCAAAGGCGATCTCCGAGGTCGAGTGGATCTTGGAGATCTTGATCTCGGCGTTGCGCACGGTGATGGTGGCCGACTCGATGGGCTTGGGCGCGCGGACGATGGTGCCCTCGACCAGGACGATGGTCTCTGCGGCCAGCGAGGCGGCCCACTTTGTCATCTGCTTCGACACCTTTTCGGGCGCCTGGGCCAGCGTGGCCTGGACGCAGTCGGTGCGCTGGCGCAGCGTGACAAAGACGAGCTTGGCCGAGGGCGAGCGGCTGGTCTGGATGCGGGCCGAGAGCAGGACCTGCTCGCCGTCGCGCTCCTCGTTGATGTCTGCGATGGCGGTAAACTTGCGGCCGGTGCGCTCCTGGGACATGTTGAGCGGCAGCTTGCCGTAGTTTTGCGAGGCAAAGTCGACGTCGGCGGCCTCGCGGGCAGCCTTTTCGGCGGCGAGCTTGGCGGCCTTTTCGGCCTTGATGCGCTCCTTTTCGGCCTTGGCCGCACGCTTCTTCTTCTGGTTGTCCGAGAGCGGAGTGCCGTCAGGGTTGAGCTCCTCGACGTCGGCGGCCGGGGCAGGAGGGTTGCCAGCCGGCGGCTGCTGGTCGGCGGGTGCGGTCGAGTCGGCCATGGTGGACTGTGCCTCGAGAGGGGAAAGGGACTTAGACGACAGGGACGGAGTTGACGTGGACAAGTGCCGCGACGTGAATGATGGCGACGGCGGCGGTGGTAGTCGATGGTCGGTGGCCGTTGGTCGTTGGTCGATGGTGGTGGTGGTGGTGGTGGTGGTGGTCGACGGTTGGGGTGGCCTGCTCGCGCAGCTCGAGACTTTTTTCGGGGATCGCAGCGAGCAGCCGGCAGGATGGAAAAGCCAGGCTGAGGTGCCTGGCTTCGAAGCTTCTGCTTGGCCTGCCAAAACGCTCGCCCGCTCGCTCCACCTCGTCACCAGCCTGCCTGCATCTGCCGCTGCCTGCCCTGACTCGAAGGCAGGCGTGATCATCAGTATGATTCTAGGAGTGGCTCTCAGGCTGCAGCAAGGAGCAAGAGGAACACCACATGCTTGAGTCCAAGCTGCAGATGGTCTAGTCAGACCTCAAGACCCAGCTGCTTGGCTTCCAGACAATTCTGCTCATGACACTACTTGCCCTTATCAAGGGCAACAACATGCAGCAGCCACTCTCTGCACAGCTTTTGACAAGCTGAGCCCCTGTGCAGCATTTGAGTGCGGTCAGAGCTGGGTGGGGCCCTGAGTTGAGAAAGAGACCCAGGCAAGGCTGGTGCAATTAATGCCTTGGTGCTCGCTGCGACGCCGTGGCTGGGTGCGGTTGTGCAGGCAGGCCGTTTTTCCATGTCAAAGGTGGAGGCCTGGCCCGCTCAAAAAACTGGCGCCCTGCCACAAGTCACGAACGCAGGCGGGGCGGCGAGACCAACACTAGTACTACCGCTTGCCCCTCCCTCCCGGCCTCGCTCACACCACGACTTGCACAACCATAAGCGCCACCAGCAGCATCAGCAGCACCAGCAGAACCATCACACCAGCTTCACTGGCACCATCAGCATCCACACACCTCTCAAGATGTTCCCCATGTCATCTTTGCAAATGGCAATCTATGAGTAACGTTGCGATGGCAACGCATATAGACGCAGTACTGAAAGCTGACTCTCTCTCTCTCTCTCTCTCCTTGAATCCTCCAGCCCTCATGCAGACTGGACAGCTGACGGGATCGCCGGGCGCTATCGCACGCATGCGCAGCGCCTGCAAGCGCGACGCTCTTGCTGCCTCCACCACGGCCTCGGGCACCGCGCCTGTCGAGTTCATCAATATCGAGGATCTTCATATGGACGTCCGCCGGGTGGAACACCGCCTTGCGGCGTTCCAAAGGGGACTTCTCAATGTTTTTGTGCCTCTCCTCAGCGACGAGGCTGCCGCTGCCAGGCTTTGCACGGATCTTGAGGGGCTCCTTGGAGATCCATGCAACCGCTTCAACCATGTCAAAGGTGCGTGCAAGCACAACTGCACCTATGGACATGTCTGCTGCCTTTGCAGCTTGGCCTTCCATGGCACCTTTGCTTGCACAGAGACTTGCAACAAAGGACAACATTCATTGCATTGAGTCCACCACCATTTGCACATCCCAGCACCACCCCTCCTCTCTGCCAGTACACATCATGTTCCACCCCTAGCACATTGCAAGCAGCAGGCAATCATATTCTTTCTTGCCTGCAGATGGCCTGGTTGCAACCAGCCCTCACTGGTTGAACATGAGTTGCAGAGTATCAATTGGTACTGGTCAGTCTGGCTTGCAAGATCAGGTGCTTCTGTACAACAAAAGAGGTGGAAAGCCCCAAGGGGAGGGCCTTGACAGTTATGAGCATTGCATCCCTGCCATCAGAGGCCACACCTGCACCCTTGTTGGATGACTTTGCCAACCTGAGCCTGGATCAGGGTGGCAGTGACATGTCTATAGTCTCTTTTGAGCCCCCCCAGAGCTGCATCCCTGCCTGGTGTTGTGTCCCCAGACAACTCAATCAACATGCACGGTGACATGGGCCAATCACCACTCCTTGAGGCTGCCAGCACCACCCAGCCGCCGACTTGCAACCGCTTCAACGATCATCTCTTCTGCGACAACTGGACAAAGCACTGCAAGTATCGCCACGAGTGCGACCACTGCGGGAGCAGCTGGCACGGAGCTAAGTTCTGCCCCGTCAAGCACAAGAAGTTCTAGCGCATCGGTGGTGGCTTCCGACCCTCTTAGGTCCCATCAATAGTTTTGTCCCCCCAAACCATTGGCGATACGCAATACTCTCCCAAGCATAATATTTCCCCCCCCTCCCCCCCCCCNCNCNCNCNCNCNCNCNCNCTCNCNCNCNCNCTCTCTACTACGTACGTACTACACCGTACACGACCGTACGTACCGTACCGTACCGTACCGTACCGTTAC